AGGATGTATTATTAACTTTTACGTTATCGAAGAATACAGGAAACATCAAAAATATCTTTGCCTAACCTTTTTACGCAGACATCTAGATTGTTTAAATCAATGTTTAAATTTAAAAATGAGCTACCAAATACGTTTTCATTCTCTCGAAGACCACATAAAGCTTGTATTAATCTAAGACCTCTTTAACTGTAAGGACTGATTAAATAAACAATATGTATTTATCTAAGACAAATGAGATACGTTTTTTTCCATGAAATTGACTTCTAATTTAAAATAATTAAGTACATACTCGTATAAGGAAAAACACTATTAATGTATTTTCTAAGAAAAGTTTTACTGCCATCTTCATTTATGTGAAGAGTTTTTCTGGATGAAAATTTTACTCTAGTTCTCGCATATTTATGCATTTTGAAGTGGTATCTTTGAATCATTTCGAGAGCAATGAGCACTTCTTGAGAACATTTAACTGAAAACAAAATATAGTATTTATATAGGTATTAAATAGTAAGTTACGAACTGGATGCATGTGTGTTTCTTATACTCTTCAATAACTTTAAATGAAGATGAGAGTTTTATATAATGTACACAAAGATATACTTTATTTATATACAAAGTGGCCAACTGAAAACGAAACACAGCCATTTTCTGGAACTGTGTCAAGATTGTAGAAAAACGCCCAGACCCGTCGATTTTAGATTAAAGGGGACATTCTTTGCTGGTAAAATAAAATATTTAAATGGCATTGGGGGTTGAGTAATATTTCTTATGAAAGCTCTTCCAATTATCTTTACAACAGACTTTAAATTTTATAATTCCGCCCAATACTTATTAAGACTTTTGATTTTAAAGTTGAAACTTATGTACAAACAATTAGTAACGGTAAAAATGTCAGTCATTCGAGTTAAGTACGCCAATGGTATAAATTTAGTATTTCTTGCGTTACATTGGTTTTTGGCGTTTTGTTATCACTTTCGTAAAAAAAAACACAATCGTAAAAAACAGAAATGAATGCTATACACAATGTATGTAAAATTAGTGGATTCTAAATTATTTTCTAGTATTATTTGGAAGCGTTGGCGTTGGTTGGTAGTCTATTTAATTGTGTTTTTGAAAATTAAACACTATGATTTATTCCATTGCGGAAAGGGTATATATCATTTCGCTTTACTTTATGAACAATAAATATGCGAATAGAAGAGCTCAGCTATTTAATGAACCACATCAAGATCACATGTCAGAAGGAGGTATGTTCTAGAGTTAGTAAAAAAATTTTAAGAGACAGGTAACGTAGCCAATAAAAAACGAGAAATTGGAAAACCTATAGTTAGTGAAGCTAGTGAAGTTACAGTTTTGGGACAAATTCATCTTGATGCTAGAATAAGTACAAGGCAGCTGGCATCTCTGTTTGGAGTCAATCGAACTAGCATACAAACCATTTTGAAGAAGAATAAATTCCATCCATACAATATACATTTAGTCCAGGAACTTCATGATGATGATTATCACCGCCGTTTGCAATTTTGCGAAATAATGAGTGATCGAGCAAGGAACGATCCACAGTTCCTTTTTAACATCTGTTTTTCTAATAAATGCAGTTTTTTCTTGAACGGGACGGTAAATCGTCACAATTGCCGCTATTGGTCCGATTCAAACCCAAGAGTTTTTCACGAGGTGCATACACAGCAACCGGAAAAATTGAATGTATGGGCTGGAATTTTCAGTGACCGGTTGGTGGGTCCTTTTTTTCTACCTGGTAATTTATTGACTGGCTAAATGTATTTGCAATTACTGGAAGACGCTATTGACCCTGCATTCACTGATAATTATTGAAAATGTTCCAGAGTATGATGAAGACTATTTGATTTTTCAATAGGATGGTGCTCCTCCGCATTATGCGTTAATTGTCCGTCAGTATTTGAACCAACGTTTTCTACGGAATTGGATTGGGAGAAGAGGCAGCATTGAGTGGCCTCCACGATCACCGGATTTATCGCCCCTCTATTTCTTTTTGTGGGAATATCTAGAAAGTAAAATCTACAAAACACAGCCAGCGTCGCTGAAAGATTTCCGTCAAAGAATCGTCGACGAATGCCGTCGAATCACTCCGGAAATGCTTCGAATGTGCACGAACGTTTCGAACAAAATCTTTATTCTTGTATGGAAGCGGGCGGTCATCAGTCTGAACATTTAATCAACTAAGTAGTAAGTAAGCAACTAAACATAATTTAAATTTTAAAATGTAAATTTTTTTCAAAGTATTGGGCGGACTTATAAAATTTAAAGTCTGTTGTAAAGAGAATTGTAAGAGCTTTCAAATGAAATATTACTCAACCTCCAATGCCATTTAAACATTTTGGGGTGATTTTTACCCTTACTTGGGGGTGAAAGTGGCGGAGTCAAAAATACCAGCAAAGAATGTCCCCCTTTAATCTAAAATCGACGGGTCTTAAATTTTAAATTTTATTATTTGATTTATTATAATTTTAATTTTTATTTGGGCGTCACAATAAATGTTTGTATTTAGATTTTCTATTACTGAATTTGTTTTTACTGAGTAGAGCTGATTCAACTTCAGGGTGTGGTTCGCTGTAATTTATTTTTTTGTATTTTACTTAAATTGTTTTAAAATGAAAGATATTTTTGAAGTTTCACAAATATAAATATATTACAAAAATTTTTTAACTGTAACTTTATAATTGACAATTTTTTATGCTTAGTCTAAATAAAATGATTATTCAGATTTTCCCCCTTTCAATCTAAAATTGCAATGTTATGATTTGATATTTAGAAGTCGACATGTCAAGATTTAATAAAAATGAAAATTTAATTTTAAGTAATATGCATATAAGATTGTTTTTGAAATTTACGTTTTTAATATTTGGGTTTATATTTGAATTTATTATTTGGCCAATGCACCTTTATACAACTCACAATACTCTATGTCGTTGAGCAGGTTTCCTATTCAACTCTGGATATACGATCGGTCTGTCTGCTATTCGCTAATCCTGGAGATTGCTACGTTGACGTCTTGAAGTTTGTACGTGACTGCAAACACTGTGCTGCTACCAGGGGCTTGATTTTTGAAAACAGGAGAATTAGTTCATTAGAGAAAATTACGTCATTTTCTCTTGACACGCAGATAATGTGATTTTTGAAATTTTCTTTGTCGGGGGAATTGGCGTTTTCTCCGAATAGTTTGAATCCAAATGTCATCTCATGCTCATGCGCGAATTGTCACTTCATTCATTCGCTGTTCGAAGGTGCGTAATCATTTAAAATTTGGAATTTGTAATGGATCCAAATAATTTATTATTAAATCTAAATATAATGAATAATTTGCAAGCTGCAGAAATTGTAAACCATCCGCGACAACATTAATTAAACCATTTAAAGTTTCAGCAATATCTGACCACTGTTCTTGGGCCTTTTTGTGAGTAAAAGTAGAAGAAAACTTTCATTTTAAAAAGTTCTTCGTTGTTTCTAAGCATATTAATTTCTTTTTTGCGCTTTCGACGTGAACGAACGCTTCATCATAATTATAATAATATTAAATTTTTTGTGTTTTCAAATATACTTCTATTCAAATTGAAGTTATATTAAATTACTACGAATATCATGGAGATGTCTAGTCTCCCTGACGAATATAATGACATTTACAAAACAAACTTCAAAATCAAATCAAGTGACTAAACATCAGGGTCGCCAATAATGGCACTGAAATATTGAAGAAAACTCTGCCCGCTGATTGGTCAGTTGCAAATATATCCTCGACATACGGCATAAATTAAATTCTCTAGAGAATTGGATTCCTTCAACGTTCAAAAATAAGTATTTAAGTTTTTAAGAGAAATTTGTCAGGTGAATTTTTTCTCTGGAGAATCAGTTCTCCTGTTTTCAAAAATCAAGCCCCTGNCATAGATAATTAAAAATAATTTTTTATCCATTCCAGATTTTTTGATAAATATAATAAACCAGGCATTATAGGAGTGATAGACTGTACTCACGTTGCTATTTTTCCTCCTCCTGTGCATAATGTTATACATCCTGAGCACATTTATGTGAATCGGAAGCAATACCATTCATTGAATGTACAATTAATTTGTGATGATAATTTGAAAATCATCAATGTTAATTCAAGATTTCCAGGCAGCACACATGATTCTTATATTTGGAATAACTCTGTTATATCGAGAGAAATTATAAATTTGAATCGGATATATGAAGGTTTTTATTTAATAGGTAACATATTTATCAATTGTGAAAAGAGATACTTATAGTACTTTTTTAAAGGAGATTCAGGATATGCCTTACGACCATGGCTCCAAACACCTATCAGAGACCCTGTACCTGGTACTGCAGAATATGCATACAATGTTGCTTTCAAACGAGCTAGATCACTGATAGAAAGAACCAATGGTTTATTAAAAATGAGGTTTCGTTGTTTACTAAAGCACCGTATTCTACACTATAGTCCAACAAAAGCATCACTCATAGTAAATGCTTGTATAGTACTTCACAATCTATGCATTATGCATAATATGCCAGATCCACACGAGGAAGATGGTGATAATGTGAATGATTTAGGAATATTTGAAAACGAGCATCATCCCCCCGCTGAAGCCAGAAATCCTGACCTTGTTGCTGCACAACGGTTGCAAAGTAGAATTGTAAATAACTATTTTAGAATACAAAATAACTAATAAAAACATTTTTATATCTTTAAAATCTCCACTTGTGGATGATGGCACATGCTATTAGATATCGATGTATAAATCAGGTATTAGAAAGGAATCTGTGTGTGTAAGTAAGGACGTGAACTTTATTTTTTTACTAAAAACCTGTAATACTTGTGAAAAAATTACTACAGAAAAAAAAAACATTCTAAATTCAACAGACATTAAAAAAAATTGTTTTAAATTGAAAAAGTTAAACCTTAAAAAATGTAATGAAAAATATAAGACCAATATAATATAATAAGTAACTATACATAAACCTATATTTTATATCAATTCTTCCAGAGCATCTGCTATTCTATTTTTTACAGAAATTTCAGCCTTCTTTAATTCTAGTTCCTCCTTTTTCAATTCTGTTTCCTCCTTCTTCAATTGTATTTCTTCCTTCCTACATTTTAAATTTTCTTTTTCTATTTCCAGTCTCTCGCTTTGTATTTTCAGTTTTGCTTCATAATATTTTTCCTGAATTTTCTCATTTTGCGTCAATAACTCTTCTGATGCTTTGAGGGAACTCTCCAGATTTCGTGCCTTCAGTGTCGTTTTTTGGTGGTCCTTTTTTTGACTGGTTATAGTAGGAAGTAGAAAAACTGGTTTATTTTTTTCTACTTGAACTGCGGAATACTCAGTTTGTGGCTGTTCAGAACTGCTAATGCTCGGTCGTATTGGCAAAATTTGAAATTCAATATTGTCAATAGGTTCAGGAAGTGACTGTGAAAAAATTGTCATATTATTTAATAATATTAAGCTATATAATTAAGTATACCCATATTTTATTTTAATCATGACAAATATATTACTAGTAGATTTCCTATTATTTTTTTAAAATTTTATGTTTGTATAAAAACCACATAAAATAGAAATCAACAAGAGATTATTACAATTATCTAGGGCTCATACATAAGCGCTTGACTCCATGACATTTTCATCACCTTCCACAGCAGTGGTTTCAAGTAATTCCATCACTGCCTCTTCATCCTCTGTTGTTGATATTTGTTGCTGTGGTCCACCACCTGTACCCCTCATAAAATGGATTACCTCTGAATTCTTCTTTTTGGCATTTTTTTTTAAATCTCCCGAAGTCTAGGAAAGAAATATTTTTAAATAAACAAATAGCAATATCAGATTTTTTTACCTTTTTCCATTGCACCCAAGTTTTATTTGCTCCTGGCATAGCATTTAAAGCTTCAGCAATATCTGACCATTGTTCTTGGGCCTTTTTGTGGGTAAAAGTTGATGAAAACTTTGACTTTAAAAGTTCTTCGTTGTTTCTAAGCATATTAATTAATTTTTTTTTGCGCTTCCGACATGAACGCACGCTTCATCATAATTATAATAATATTAAATTTTTCGTATTTTCAAATATACTTCTATTCAAATTAATATACTATTAAATTACTACGCAAATGATGACATTTACAAAACAAATTTCAAATTCAAATCAAGTGAGTAAACATCAGGGTCGCCAATAAAGGCACTAAAATATTGAAGAAAACTCTGCCCGCTGATTGGTCAGTTGCAAATATATCCTCGACATACGGCATAAATTAAATTCTCTAGAGAATTGGATTCCTTCAACGTTCAAAAATAAGTATTTAAGTTTTTAAGAGAAATTTGTCAGGTGAATTTTTTCTCTGGAGAATCAGTTCTCCTGTTTTCAAAAATCAAGCCCCAGTTACCAGTTTTTATTTATTTTCCAATTTTTATTTATTTCACTAAATTTTAAATTGTTCATTTAGTGTCGATTTATGTTTACTGCTCGATGTGGTTTTAAACTTGCATGGATTTTAACCATGTATGGATATTGTGTGAATATGACGTTTGACATTACTTGATGTGACTGACGTTTGACGTTTCAGATGGCTGGATAGGTAATTTTCAAAAACTTATTGATTTTTATTGATATTCACTTGTTATTTTAGGTACCAGACTAACGATGTTTCTACTTCGGTAACTTATAAGAGACTAACTACTGCGAGCCCGATTTTTGTTTTTATTAAACATAAAACAAATGATGTGTTTCTATGGAAACTTCAAACTAAACTTTTGCCTATTTTTATTTGCAAAATATTGACTTTATGCATTTTTAATCTGCACGATCTTTACATATGTGTTTAGATTCTCTTAATTTTTCTGAAGCTTTTAACACCTATAACATCTTTCTACGTTAACTTTCTGATTCTAACCGAATTTTACTCAATTTTGAACATTTTAGCTAAATTAGGTTATATATCTTAATTTTCTGACTATATGTCCATTCGCTGTCTTTAATATTTACCCTTTTTCACTTTTCTAACAGTCTTTTACCTGTTTATGACACTTAACGATTGAAATGTTTTAGGTTTGTCGATTCATAGAAAACTTTTAAAGTTTACACACTAATTTGAACTTGGGTTGGAATCTCAATACAGTTTATGATGATAAGAAGGTCTAACTAATTTGCAGTTCCACAACATTCTTAAATCTACAATTTTACAATTTCTGACGATATATAAATCTGTCATTTCTTAAATGCTATATGAAACTTTTTACACTGACTCAGGTTTAATTCCACTCATAAATACTTGCTGTAGGTTCATACCTATATGTTTTAATTTTATAAAAGATGTATTGCCTGTTACTCATTTATGTGTGAAATTCCTTTTCCACCCGTCGTTCAACTTGTCAAAATTTGTACAGTGTACAGTTTGAAATCTAACTTTACTAAATTGTTCTTTACAATGGTTTTTAACTTTTTTATATTGCATGAGTGCATTTTATCAACTATTTAATGTTTAAATTGATCTTTTAACATAATTTTGACATTTTGAAGCGTTTCATTTAACGATTTTAACTTATATTACTACGAAAGTTATTCTACTTTAAATGTATCCTTCGTTTTACTCATTTTCTGTGTTCCACATCTTTTTTATGCCAGTTTTCTCTATACTACTGGTAAATATTTCAATTTTTACCAAAAATTTACAATTTTGTTCCTTTTCTTATGTTTTATGTTACCCTAAGAAAAATCATAACAATATATATTGTTATGTTTTTGTTATGTGTGAAAGTGTCTTTTATTTTTTTTTAACATGAAATGAACAAAATATATTGCATATCTAATTTTGCAGACAATTGACAAATTGTATTATTACTTATTATCCTATATCTTCTACTTTATCTTATACTAATTTAGAAGGTGAAATTTTGATATTTAGCCGACTTTGGTATTTTAAAACAGAATTTTTATAGCTATAAGTTTGATTGTTATATACGAATTCGTACGATGAAATTTCTAAATTAGCCAATTTATAGAAGTATCACGTATCGCTTTAGTGTATTTCTGGTTTCGGAGATGCCATCCAGATGTCCTGAACCTCGTTCTGGTCGATGTTAGGTTTTGTATGATCTAGATCGAAGAACTGGTTCCATATACTTGATATTCCAAAGGTTGATTGGATTTGTACTTCGCCTGTCGCTGTATTTTCTCACAGCACTTCACTAGTTTTTAATTGGAAATTTATACCTTGCACTTTTGATTAAATGACACTTATTCCCATCATATAAATCTCAGTGAATATTTGAATTGTTGAGAAATTTTTAATTGCTGGCAAATTTTCACTTTTGACAGTTGTCAGAATACCACTTGCTGTTTTGACGTTTGAAAACTGGTAACTACGTATACATTTATTTATTTAATTTTGACTGGCTTTTGTTTATTTTAGGAGTGACTGAACGATGTTTATGGTACGACAAATTATGAAAGACTGGCTGATCTCTCACTACAGCTCAAATCGCAGCATGCACTGTATGCCGATGATACTGAGATATTTGGAAATGCACCACAAGACCATCAGACTCTACAAGATGATATTAATTCTATCGAGCACTGGTGCTATGATTGGCTCATCCCTCTGAATTTAAATAAGTGTACTGCTATACATATTGGTAAAAATAATCCCAAGTCAACATATACTTTCGGTCAAGGTCAACTTATAGCAACTGTCGAAAACCAGAATGATTTGGGTGTAGTAATCAATTCCAGTCTCACTTGGTCTGAACACCATTGTAAAAAAAGCCAACTCCGTTTCTTATCTTTTAAATAAGTGTTTGCAGAGCTCAAACGATCAGGTCTTCTTAAAATTATATAAATTATGTATTCGTCCGCATCTGGAATACTGCGTGAACATATGGTCCCCTTACCTGATAAAAGATATTAACCTGATAGAGAGCGGGCAGAGAAAATTCACAAAATGGATCCCCAAATTTAGATCTCTTCCATATCATCACCGTTTGGATAATTTGAAAATTGCTTGTACTAATGTGAGACGTCTATGTGGTGATCTTATCCAATGCACAAGATTCTAAATAATCATTACAGTTTAACTTTTGGAGACTTATTTAGGTTAAATTTAGTATATTTTCGTGTGCGGTTTATGACCTGTTCCGTTAGTTAGCTGTGATTTGTATTGTTATTTTGGTATTCTGTTCACATACTTATTTGTTCTTTTTCTTTTATGTTAGCTATTTATTTTACTGTTACTTTAAAAGCTGTTATCTGTCATTTTGTACATTTTATTGGACTAAATAGGCTTTGCCTCTGTTCTTGCTATTATATAACAATAATAGTAATAGTAATATTACAAATATGAATACTAAATGGTATTTATTGTTCACATTCATTCAACGTGAACACAATATTTAGTATTTTACTTTACATAAACATTATAATCACTACTGAGGTACACAGTTTAACTACTTTTTCCCCAATTCTAGATTCAATACATTTTAGAAACTTATATTTTTGTACTTTTCCGATACCGATCTAGTAACAAGCAGAGAAAAATAATTTATCGGAATCTCCCCTTAAATCCTTACGAAAAAAATGCAATTTACAGAATCAGATTTCCTCTTTATTGATGATGGATTTGCGATGGAGATTGATGGGCAATAATGCTCATATAATCGAGGAGAGATATGGCAATATTTTTAAAAATATTATCCGGTTATTTGCTATTCGAATAATACTGGCAATTTTATTAAAATTATATAATTTACTGTTATTTAATAATAACAAATTTTAATCATCCAACAGTTATTTCTTTTCGAGGCTAGTGTGAAAATAAGGATTTTAATAGGAAAAACCGTCTATAAACTAAGCTACCATGGAACTAGCACCAAAGGTAAACAATGGTGCGCAACCTAAAATAACAACGTATGATAACATATCGTGTTGTTCTTGAATTATTAATGCAAATATTAATCTTTAAAAATAAAATTTCAACGCTTTATTTCAGACATGTTTATCAAAATTATGTATATTCAAACAAGGAAAAAGAAAATATTTGTATCAGAAATGCATTCGATGTGCAACTTTCAACTGCTTGCTAGCAATTATGGCATTAATGCATTGAAAAAATGATAAATAATAATAATAATAATAATAATAATAATAATAATAATAATAATAATAATAATAATAATAATAATTTTATTTATCTATATAGTACAATAATGTTTACTATTTATTACAGACACATATTACATATAGACAAATAGGAATAACGCTCAGTTCGCTGCATCAGCAGGGTACTGTTCTTCCGCGCATCCTAAAGAGAATAAACGATTCTAAAAAAATATATATTTTAAAATAGATGTGGGGACTAAAAAGAAAATATATAGCATATAAAAAATCAACAAATAATAGAGAAGTATCTTAAACTTGACTATTTAAAAAGTAAGATTTGAGAGATATCCTAAATTTGTAAAGCGACATTGGCATTGACATTGCTGCTGAGGTATTACTTAGATCATTATATAGTTTGACTATATTATGGGAGAAGGACCGTTCAAAGAAAGCGGTTCTATGTCTGGGCATAGATAATAAACCTTTATTTCGTATATTAACATTATGCACGTCCGTCCTAAATGTTATTTTATTATAGAGATACGGAGGAGTTTTTGTAGAAATCAACTTATGATAAAAACAGATTGCATGATAATTTCGTCTAGTTTTCATTGGGAACCACTTCAGACTCTTGAAAGCGGGAGATATATGATTATATTTTTTAATGCCGTATATAAATCGGACACAAGCATTTTGCATTCTTTGGATTCTGGATGTATCAGTACTGTCTATACAAGGATTATAAAGAACATCACAGTAGTTAAATTGAGACAAGACCATAGACTCACACAGTAGCATCTTGATTTGCTTACTTGATATGCCGACTATCGTATAGAAGTTTTAGATTTGCAAACGATTTTCTCAACATTGAATTTACAAATGATTTAAATCTC